TCCCTCCGGCTGCAATGCGATCGGCTGCATGGGTTCGCAAGGCAGATTATGCCTGTGGTCCGGTCCAAACAAAAGAGTGCTTGCAGCATTTTGTTCGGACCGGACTGCAGGCATAATGTGCCTTGTGTTCCCGTGCGAACGATCGCATTGCGGCCGGAGGGAGTGGCTACGGTACCATTCACTTCAATAGACTGAATGTGCATTCGAATGTGTCCGAATCCGAATTTCCGTTTGAGAAATCGAAACTGAATGGGACATGTGACTTCTCTGGCCAATCAGATGTGTTTTCCGGTTTAATGCATCCGAATGGGTCTGAAGATGAATTTTCGTTACGGCAACATGGGAGCCATATACAGTATATACATATAATACTAAAGCTGAGGCTCCCAGACCCAAATGGCATTCAGGATCCAAACGTCTAAATTGTATTCGGGAGCTCCCGCACACCATTCGGGTCTGGAAGCCTCAGCTTTAGTAATATATGACTCCCAGACCCGAATGGCATTTGGGAGCTCCCCAATGCAATTTGGGGACAGGAACACAAGGCACATTATGCCTGCAATCCGGTCCGAACAAAATGCTGCAAGCACTATTTTGTTTGGACCGGACCGCAGGCATAATCTGCCTTGCGAACCCATGCAGCCGATCGCATTGCGGCCGGAGAGAGTGGCTACGGGGCCATTCACTTCAATAGACCACCACACCCACTCCTGCCCCACAACATAGTGAGCCGGCCGCAATGCGGTGCAGTGCGTTCTGGCCAGAATCGGGCCGGAATGCACTGTTACTGGTGTGAATGAGGCCTTAACTCCTGAGTTAAGAGTCACTTTAAGGCAACAAGAGGCCATTTCAACACATATGATGCAGGCATGGTCTGCCATTGTTACCATCAGGAAACCCACCCTGAGAAATGCCATACAGACATCGGCGGAACCATGCAGTGAGGAAGTGGCTGCAGGAGATCAGCAGCACTGAGATGCAACAAAGGGATGAAAATAAATAAATAATTTCTGTGTATATATATATATATATATTAAAATACCATAGCAATTGCTTATGATACACAAGGGGATTTAACAAAACTGGAGCAGACAGAATCTGGAGTGGTTGCCCATAGTAACCAATCAGCTTCTCGTGTCGGTTTGTTCAGTTACACTTTGAAAATGAAAGCTGATTGGTTACTATGGGTAGATGCTCCAGATTCTGTCTGCTCCAACTTTCATAAATTCCCCTCACAGTGCTTTACTAAAGGGAAACTCAGTTTATGGGGTTTATATGTACATTAATTTTATGAAAAAATGACCATTTCACTCTGAATCCAGCTTGGAATTTCTGTAACTTCCAAAAAAATAAAACGTTACTTCTTTGTTACTATAGCAACACCTATAGGGGGCTTTTTTTATAAAACAAAATGGCATAGCTTATTCATTCAGCGAAACTGCAGGTACATTTGTTCTGTGCAAGTTGTTAGAATATTATGCAAAAACAAATGTCCTTAGTCTAGTTTTTCCTCCCGGCGAATGTTTTTTCGGTAGATATTCATACAAAATAGCTTGAATAGGAAAAAATACCCCATTATGGTCACTAGAAGGAGTGGAGGAAAATTATAGGAAATATATACATTAGTAACGAGATACAATTCAGGAGAGCACTGGAGAGATAAGTATATAAATGTATCTATTGCTATCAATGTAGTATCAGTAGTTACATTTATATGTTCATTCCTTCCAGCTGTCTCTAGAATGGCAATATTGTATCTAAATACTCATTTATTTCCTGTGATCCTTGGTGCCATCTAGTGTCCATAATGTGGTATTGTCCCCATTCGCTCTGTACTTTGGAAATTAATCTATATTGAAGAACATTCGACCTGAAGAGAAATTACACTGACAACATTCGGTTTCAGCCCCATTTTCACAACAGCGCACAGAACACATTTTTGATGTTTCGCTGGATGAATAAGCTATCCAAATTTTTGTCAACATAGACCCCGATAGTGTTCTACACTGAGTGGCCAGATTATTATGACCACCTGACGTTTGTAGGCAAATTAGCTATAATTTGGCGGTGAAGTTGCTAGCGGGCCAGACCATTATAAATAGGGAAGCAGGTTGTTTACCACGACAGTAGAAGTGATTTGTTTCTGAAGATACGGGGAAACAACGCGATGTAACAGCCTTTGAACGCGGGATGATTGTTGGCGCTCGGAGCCATGGAGCGAGTATCAGCAAAACAGCAGAATTCGTTAAATGTTCAAGAACAGCTGTTGTTAAAGTGTTTAAAGACCGTACTGTCAGCCGAAACGAAGTACTGATGGGGTGGTCATAATAATCTGGCCAGTGTATAAGCTGTATGTGTACAGAACGTGTCCAGATTTCTAATTTTCTGGTGATGTGATTGGCTCCCTGTTTTGCCAACACTTATTATAACATTGGGACTAATCCTGTGATTCCAGTAGGGGGGACCCACCCACTTAGCACTAGACATGTAAGCTAAGGAAAAATTCAGTTTGGATATTTTGTTATTTGAGGATTCGGACCTGAAATTCAATTCGGTTCGGGTTTCGGATTCAGATGGAATGAAAATTTCTGTCAGTTTCGGATGAGTTATGAATATTCGTTGCGAATACCACAGAAAACCATATACCATATTAACACTAAAGCTGAATCTCCCAGACCCGAATGGCATTGGGGATCCGAATTTCCGAATAGCATTTGGGAGCTCTGTAATGCCATTCGGGCCTCAGCTTTAGTAACACTGTGTATGTATTTGGCTCCCAGACTTGAATAGCATCCGGGATCCGAATTGCATTGGGGAGCTCTTGAATGCCATTCAGGTCTGGGAGCCATATACATAAATTACTAAAGCTGAGGCTCCCAGACCCGAATGGCATTCAGGAGCTCCCCAATGCAATTCGGAAATTCGGATCCTGAGTGCCATTCGGGTCTAGGAGCCTCAGCTTTAAAGGAGAACTATGAGGTGAGTGCTTTTCTAGCCGACCTGTGACACATACTGGCGTTCGCTCACCTCTCGATCCTGTCACGGCTCTCTGCCGTGACAGGGGAGGGGCTGTATTCCCCCCTCCCCGCTCCGATCCACCAGCGCTGACTGGCGGAACGGTTGGGGGAGGGGGCGGGTACAGCTGGCTCTGCCTCTAGATAGGCAGAGCCAGCTGTCGGTCACGCAGCTGGGCAGATCCAGGCATAATTGCCAGGATCCGCTTCAGCTGCGGCGTCTCAGTATACCGCGAGCTACAGCTTGCGGTATACTTAGCCTAGGGTGATGGGAGGATGCTAGTTTGTGTCCTCCCGTTACCCTAAGGAGAACTATGGGGAAAAGCCTTAACCCCATAGTTCTCCTTTAATATTATATGTATATGGCTCCCATGTTGCCGTAACGAACACTCGTCTTCAGACCCATTCGGATGCATTAAACCGAAAAACACATCTGATTGGCCAGAAAAGTCACATGTCCGATTCAGTTTCGATTTTGAACAAAATTCTGACGGGATCCGAAATTCACAAACGGAAATTCGGATTCGGACACATACGGATGCATTTGGATTAAAAAATTGGGATGTGTCCGAATTTCGGAAAATTCGTCCAAATTTTGATTCGGAATGAAACAAATCTCACGTGTCTATTTATCACCCAGGGAGTGACTGGAAGTCAGTTTCTGCCATACAGAAGGAGGTGACACTCTACAATGCAATTTTCTAAAAATCCTTGAACTGGATATGTGACGTGGAGAGGATATTGTTCTCTCTATAAAAGTTTTTTGGCAGCCCATTCGTGGCCCCTAAAACAATGCACATTAACACACCGCAACTATATAAAAGGGCCCTCAATGGAAGGTAAAGATTTTTTTTGGTTTGTTTTAGATAAAATGGGACAGGTTTAAAACATTCACTTTTTTATTTTATTTTGGGCAGTGGCACATCTACGGTATGGCACATATGTCACATGCCCTGGGTGGCTCTTGTAGTGGGGGCACTGCTCTGTGGATCAGCAAAAGTTCTCCGACCCGTGGAGATAGCTTTTTTTGTCCCTCTCCACCCTTCCCCCACACTCATCTCCCCAGCAGGCTCTTAGCAACCTGGGACGCTCTGGTGGGTCTCCCGCCCAGCTCCTAGCAACCAGTGACGTCACCTGGGAAACCCACCAGAGCGTCCCAGGTTGCTAAGAGCCAGGCAGGGAGATGTGTGAAGGCCATAAACATCTCCCCACCCAGCTCGTAGCAACCAGATCAGGCGGGAAGATGTATATGTGGGTGGGATACCTGACAGAGCGTCCCAGGAGGGGAGATGTGAATGGTCCTTACACATCTCCCTGCCCAGCTAGGAACAACCAGAGATTCTCTGTCTGGCGTCCCGCCTAGCTCCTGGGAAACCAGTGATATTACTGGTTGCCAGGACCTGGGTGTGACGCTAGGGGTGCAATATGTTGCAGATACATCTCTGATTTTGGGGAAGACATTTCCCCTTACTTCCTGTTTTGGTGACCACTATTACTGGGGCAGGAAGTGAGTACAAATCTCCACAGAGGACCCAGACAACAGTAGAAATTTTACAAAGAGCAATAGAAAAAAAAGAAAGCCACACCATTTGTGTGTCCAAATTGTATATGTTTATTTCCTCATAACATGGAAGCCAACACGTTTCAGGCTGTGTAAATAATAAAACTTGCTGAACAGTAATAAAAATCCTTTTGGCTGGCAAAATAAATATTTGTTTTAATGTGTGTTAGATCGCTTGTGTGAATCGAGGCGGATTTGCATATATTGTGAATAAAGAGCTGTAACATGGTTCTTCATGGATATGTCCATGCACATGAGATTTTTATCTGCGTCGGCTGACACCAGCGCCCCAGACACACGCCTGCCCTGCAGTACTCGCAGTCACCTGCGAGAGGGCGCTCAAGCAGCACCCGGAGCACGGCGAAGCTGGAGGGGAGCCAGCGCGCATGCGCCAGGGCAGGCGACCCGGCGGACCACGCCCACTCAGCGGGAGGGCGGGAGCGAGGCACCCCTGAGGGTTGGGCCGACGCCTGCGCGCTGAGGGAGATCCGGGTACTTGGCAGGATGAGAGCGGCTTTCCAAGATGGCGGCGGAGGGAGGAGGGAAGGAAATGAACGAAATTAAGAGCCAGTTCACCACCCGGGAAGGCCTGTACAAGCTCCTCTCTCACTCCGAGTACAGCCGCCCCAACCGCGTCCCCTTCAACTCGCAGGGCTCCAACCCGGTCCGCGTCTCCTTCGTCAACGTTAACGACCAGTCCGGGAACGGCGAGCGCATCTGCTTTAACGTGGGCCGCGAGCTCTACTTCTACATCTACAAGGGCGTCAGGAAGGTGAGAGGGGCGCCCGCCGGGGGGCGGGGACACTGACTGGGGTGAGGGCTCACCCGGAGGACGGGGGAGGGGCCGGCCCTACACCCTGTGTGTCTAATAGAGACATACCGTATATACTGTACAAGGAGAGCCCTGAGTACAGGCAACTGTGTTATACAGGGAGAGCCCTGAGTACAGACAGCTGTGTGTGTGTGTGTGTAATACAGAGAGAAATACCGTATATACTATACAAGGAGAGCCCTGAGTACAGGCACCTGTCTAATATATAGAGAGATACCGTATATACTGTACAGGCACCTGTCTAATAGAGAGATACGTATATACTGTACAGGGGGAGCTGTGAGGACAGGCACCTGTCTGTAATACAGAGAGATACCGTATATACTGTACAAGGAGAGCCCTGAGTACAGGCAGCTGTGTTATACAGGGAGAGCCCTGAGTACAGACAGCTGTGTGTGTGTGTAATGCAGAGAGAAATACCGTATATACTATACAAGGAGAGCCCTGAGTACAGGCACCTGTCTAATAGAGAGATACTGTATATACTGTACAGGCACCTGTCTAATAGAGAGATACCGTATATACTGTACAAGGAGAGCCCTGAGTACAGGCACCTGTCTGTAATAGAGAGATACTGTACAGGGAGAGCCCTGAGTACACACAGCTGTGTGCCCCGTATAGAGGTAGTTGTGTTTATACAGAGCCACCATATATACTATACAGCCGCTGCATGTCTAATACAGAGACATCGTTCAGTGTTTGGTACATATACATGTGTGCGATGTGTAAAAGGTCTACCC